TTATTATAAAATAAGGCAGCTTGTTCTGTTTTTCATATAATTGAGTAACACATTTTTTTCAAGAATGTAATTTGTAAAATGATGCACATTTTATTGTGTTGAGTGGTTTAAATATAATCAGACTGGACAAAGAATTGGCCAATCAAGCGAGCATTGTGTATAATGAATTCCTGCAAAAGTAGAGAGGACAAAGGCAACTGATTGAATCATGTAAACATGATAATGCTGCACAACAGACTGTAGGAAAACATTTGATTTCCTTTATTTCAATGGACCCAACAGTGACTCTAGGAGATGAGACAGAATTCACATGTTTTCTACCAGGCCTCAGAGAGAAAGCTGAGGAAAGGGAAAAGTATTAGTGTGGCTGTAGCTTTTGTTAGGCTACTGGGATTTTACATAGTGTGTACACCATACCGCTTTTCTCTGTGGTCACCTCTGACTGACGTGTGTATAAGTACATTATGAGCATTCCTGTGGCAGAGGAGGTGGGGGATTTCTATTAGACATATAACTGCCAAAATGTGGGGTGTGCTGTGTGTATTTCTCTGAAATCGTCAGAATAATAGTTAAGTTTGGAAGAAGCCCGGTAGTATATCCAATTAAATGCTCAACAGATTTTATTCTGTCAATTGGTTAAAGGATATTATTTTGTCTGCTTCCACAGATCTGACCAACATCTTTGAGTCGTTCTTGCCCCAGCTACTGGCTTACCCGAACCCCATCGACCCCCTGAACGGAGATGCAGCTGCCATGTACCTTCACCGGCCAGAGGAGTACAAGCAGAAAATCAAAGGTTCAGCCTCATGAAGATCTACTGGCTGTAGATCCCACATGTCTCTATGTCACAATCTGTCCAACAAAATAACATACTGATCTTTGGTTTCCAGTTGTTGCTGTCTGACCATGCTCTCCTTCTCTCTCCCCTCTGCACCCTTCCCTCCACAGAGTACATCCAGAAATATGCAACAGAGGAGGCTCTGAAGGAACAGGAAGAGGGGGCAGGCGACTCTTCATCCGAAAGCTCCATGTCCGATTTCTCAGAAGACGAGGCCCAGGACATGGAGTTGTAGTGATAGGAGGGCTCCCCATCCCACTCCCTCCTTTAACCCCCATCCCTCCCCCACAAAGACTATATTTGATTTCCTAACCATGAGAAAGCAGACTTATAATATTCATATT